ATCTTATTTATTCGTTTATTGAACCTAATATTTTATTATTAATATCATTTATAAGCAGTTGCTTATATTCTTCCAATCTTTTTATTTGTGGCATAACTGATAAATTTAAATTAAAATCTAAATTTCTCCTCTTAGATTAATTACAAAAGTCAAGAATTTCTAATCTAAGAAATAAAGACATAACAATCTAGGAATGCATAGCATTTCTTTAATAGTCGTAACGAATATAATTTATCAGCGTGGTAGTTAAAATAGTAGATTATAAAATTTTTGTGTCAAACGTGAGTAGAAAAGAAATGTATTGATTAATATCTGAACAATAAAAACTTATGTAGTACCTTTTGTCTGACACTGAAGTTTCCTAACTTAATTCCTCTTTTAAAACTTTTACGAAGATTGACTTTACGATTATTTTAAGATAAAATAGTGCTTTTAGGCATTAACAGATTCTTGTGTAATTTTTCGACTTTTGCCTGAGGCGCACATTGGACGTGAAAGATGTATTGGAATTGCGCCAGAAATTTCTCACTAGAATCACGTATTACTTACATTCAAATGAAAAGGGGAACTAGAGAACTTTATTACATTCTAAATTATTGTGTTTAAAAATTTATTTATTCAACGAAAGAAAATATATTTAGCACTGATAAATAATATAAATCAGAGACCTTTCTTATCCATATATAAAGTAATTTATTTAGAATTTTTTTAAAATTGCTCTAAAGATATGTTTTCATTCTTAAGGGAATATTTCATCCTAAAAACATTATTCTAACTGACTTTGCTCATTTTTATTTATTTTTCCTATAAGAAAGGTGTGAAATTTATCACATTCTAGTGAAATTTAAAATGTGGATTTTTAAGATCATTTAATAGAAAAATTGAGAAAGTAATGTAATAGCTTTTTCTTAAGTTTTCTTATCTTTATTAAAACTGGTCTCTGATAAAAGTATATATGGTCCATAAACGAAAGTTGGCACTTTAGAGCGATATAATTTATCATACGATATAACGTGTCTGGGACGCTCACTCTTCTCCTTTGATAGGAAAGGCAGCCTCTCTTTATACTTTACGGAACGAATGTACCTATACAATAATAATAGATGTTAAGGAAAGTTTTAGATACCGTCTCCTTTTCTTGTCAGCCATGTTATCTTACCAGTAGAATAATTTCATTACAGGATCTAATTTTTCCTTCTCTTGAAATTTATATCTTAGCATCATAAAGAATAAATTAGGGAGATTAATTTAAAAAAATTAAATTTGTAGAATACGTAATTGAACATAAAAAAATAAGTACTGATTCAAAAAGCTGTTTGCATTATTTGACAGGTGGTTATTAAACCAACAAAAAGTGATTATTGTTTGTAATTAACCACGTTTTAAATATCCCGCCAAGTGAATGTGCAAAGTATGAGAAAATATGCGAATACTAGGACATTTTAATTATTCGTCGGACTCTCATGAATAAATATGAATCCCAGAACCAGGAAGAATTCATTATTTCAACTGTTTGTATGATACAACCACCTGGTGAAGTTATATTTTGGCATGAGTTTCACTGTCGACATTTTACTGCGGAAATTAAAAAAAGAAACGTTTTTATCCCAATTTAAATTGAAATAACTTTTTTATTTATTAATTAAAAGATGTTTGTAATTTTTAATTTAATATTTATTGCTTTCTTATTTTTAAAGAAAGTTAGAATTAAAAGATGTTTTATTTTTTCATGTTGGAGAAAAATCTAAACGACTTTTAAGCTAATATTCTATATTCATTAAAACAAATACAGTTTAGCTTCTAAATGATGAAATTTTATGCAAAAACATTTTTGTCAAATGTTTATTGAGTCTTTTAAATAAAATGTCAATTTAATTAATGTCATTTTCAGATTGTTGATTGAATTTCAATTATTTCATTTCACCATCAGATAAAGAATTAAATATTATATAAAAAATTAATAAATACTCTCCCTCAGGTGGGATCCAACTTCTAAACAAACAGTTTCGCCTTTTAATCAGCATTTGAGCCATTTCAGTCCTTGTAGTTTTATTGAGAAAAATTACTTCAATTGGTTCTTTTCGTCAGTCATGAACATCAGTTTGTAAAAATCGTAAAGAGTGAAATTGGAAGAAACGCGTTTCAAAGTACGATGTTCGAAATGACTCAATCCGGGCTCAATAAAGTACACCTTAGTAACTTTGCAGAATCCCCTTTGCATGCAAGAAATTCGGAGTAGAAAATAAAAGGGAGTGGGGCGCCTGCAAGTCTGGCTAGTTGCTCGAACACCTGACTGAATCTATATTCGAGCTCGTAACTTAAAAAATATTATAGATTGGCCTCTAAAACTTTGGGCACATATTCTCTGATATAATACCCAAAGATTAGGGAAAAAAATAAATCAATTTTTTTTTGACAATCTAAAAATATAATTTTTTGGTTTTTAAGTTAGTAGATTCTAGATTATTGTAATATTTGACAGCTTGAGGTTAAATAACCGTTATTTCTTTAATGAAGAAGTAGCCTCAAGGCTACTTCAAGGCTCCCTTAAAGATCATGTCTTGCTTGAATCTAAAAACTTGTCTAAAACTTAAGACTGAACTTAGACATAAAGCTCGCTTGAGGTTCAAGGCTTACTTTAGGCTCAAGATTTTTTTAAAGCTAAAAAACTGATATAAAAATTAAAATTCAACTAAAACATAAGGCTCACTAAAGGCTCAAGGCACAATGATGAGCCAAGTTTAACTGAAGCTAAAAACTCGTCTAAGACTTAAAACTCGTTAATGATTGAATCGTACCTAACTCTGAAGCAATGTTTTAGAGCAAAGTAAGGTCATAGGCAAAGTTAAATCTTCAAACAAGCCTTGAACGAGTTTTACATCTTAAATCAATCTTAAGTCTTAGAAGAGCTTTTAGATTAAAGTAACTTTAGAGAATTTAAGACTTGAGACTGAAGCGAATCTTAAAAATTATAATTCATTCTTAAGTCTTAGACGAGTTTTTAGCTTCAAACAAGTCTTGTAGCTTTAAGTGAGCTTTGAGCCTTTAAGCGAGCCTTATGTCTAAGTTTAGTCCTAAATCTTAGACGAGTTTTTAGCATCAAAAAACCTTGAGCTTTAAGTGCGCCTTGAACCTTGAGTGAGCCTTTTGTCTAAGTTCAGTCTTAAGTCTTAGACGAGTATTTAGCTTCAAACAAGTCTTGAGTCCTAAGCGAGCCTTAAGTCTAAGTTCAGTCTTAAGTCTTAGACGAGTTTTTAGCTTTAAACAAGTCTTGAGCCTTAAGCGAGCATTAAGTCTAAGATAAGCCTTGAGCCTCAAGTGAGCCTTAAGTCTAAGTTCAGTCTTAAGTCTTAGACGAGTTTTTAGCTTCAAACAAGTCTTGAGCATTAAGTGAATCTTAAGTCTTAAGCGAGCCTTCTGTTTTAGTTCAGTTAAAAGTCTTAGATGAGTTTTTAGCTGCAAATAAGCCTTGAGCCTCAAGCGAGCCTTAAGTCTAAGTACAGTCTTAAGTCTTAAAAGAGTTTTTAGCTTTAAACAAGTCCTGAGTTTTAAACGAGCCTTGAGCCTTAAGCGAGCCTTGAGGTAGCCTTAATGGAGCTTTGTAGTAGCCTTGAGGTAGCCAACATTTTTTTACCCGGAATGGAGACATTTTACCGACAATTAGCCTGGATTAAGGAAGCACGTCAGGACCGTAAAATTAAAAGACAAGGCTTTAACTTAACTGTAGTAAAACACCTACTTGTAGAGTTCCATCGAAGAAAGCAAAGATGACCAAAGCGAATCAAGGTTGGACGTTCAAGAATAACCGTCACTGAAATTGCCTTACCCAAGTAGAAAAAATCCAGTCCTTAGAAAGTGACGAATCAGAAAAAGGATCATCCTAAAACACAATTGACGAAAGTTGAAGTTTGCAGTAGAAAATGGCAAATATCGTCAAGTCTCACTTCATCTAAATGAACCATAATAAGACTTTAATAGACATTTCTCAGATGATTTAAGTGCTTTTTGTCGACAAGCTTGAGAGAGCGGAATTGACGGTTGTAAAACCAAAAGAGAGGGATAAATAATGGTCCAGCCAAAGGGTGTGGTTTTTAGTGGTTTGAACAGAAGAAGGGCAGTCTTATGGCACTTTATAACCTTGGAGTATAAGCTTCTTGGTATTTGACAGCAGATTTTTCATCTTTCTCGTAAAATACAGAGTAAATAAAATTCGAATTGAATTGTGTTACTACCTACAATTAGATTTTTATTGTTGGGTCACGTCAATTGTTAATATATGCTTACATAATTATTGAAATATTATTTTTGAATTTTATTGGGGAAATAGAAATATAGTAGGGACATAAAACACTTTTCATCTATAATTGTCCGCTATGGCAAACTTTCCCTGCTCCAGGTAGGTGAACTCCCCAGATCCCGATGGAACTCCCGGACGACGTTACCTTATGAACTTTTTATGGAGATCATTCGGTAACTGAAAATTGAAACTTGCATCTACCTGGCCGTGCGTTATACGACCAATAACCTCTGTGATGAAGCTTGTCCCCTGAATTTGATTTAGTCACTAAGCCACATTTTGTTCACTAACTTTTTTATTGCTTAGGAAGCTTTTGGAACTATACAGCTAACGGTTAAACACAGCACTCGACGAACAGGTCCTAATATTAAATTATTAGGCAGTTGGTCTTAATTTACTCAAAACCTCTTCCTAAAACCCACAGTAAAAACCAAAAATAAATTGTAAAAACCTGGAAGAGTACCTGCGGGGTAATGCTTTGGCTAAATTTCAAGGATGCATTTAAACATAATTTGACAAATATTTTCTGCAATTATACCACTGCATCTGCCATTGCTTTTTTCTAAGTTAATTTTTTAAAAATTATATAAAATAAATCTCTATTTTGATAATTATATTATAATAATTGTTAAAGACTTGTTAATACATAGAGAGCAAAACATGAAAAATCATTTACTAATAATTTTATAAATTTCTGTTTCAGGTGAGTAAAAAACAAAAACAATTCTGAAATAAATGAATTTCTCAGTTTTATGTTATGTTGGAGAAGGTGAGTTTTTACTTTATATTTGCAAAATGCTTTGTCGCCTACATGATTTATTAATTCATGTACTTAAATTGTTGGTGTTTGACAAACACCACCTATGTAGAAAAATTTTACGCTCGCTCTTGAATGACTCTTAAAAATAATGGCACAATATAACCAACCATTTGAAACAGAAATACTTTATGTTACAGTATGTTAAGACCTTAAGTACATAAAGTATCTTAAATTTATACTCAGGAAAGAAATTTTTGTAAATAAAACATAACACGTACGTTTAGTTTTAATAATAATCCTCTCATAGGATTAATTAACATTTAAGTACAATAGATTTAAGACTTAACCTGTAAAACGAATTATAGAAAATTGTAAAAGATTATTAGTATACTTTCCAATTATATGAAGTTTTATGTCATTTTTATTTTTATATAAGATGAGAAAAATTAATAATTTGTGTCTAATTGTCTTGATAATTACACATCCTCCGGATATTACTTTAAGAAATCTTTAATCCTTTTGCGACCGCTGTTTTATTATTATTTATAGTTTTTGGATATCATATTCACTCCAAGAGCGAGGATATCAAGAAATAAGGGAATATTTCAAATGCTGATTTCGCACATTTTTTAAGGTACGTCCGAAAGGTAATTTAAAAATTTTTCTTTTTTAGGAATGTAATACATGCTGGTTGGCACATATTTGCACAAAAAATATGAAAAATCCAGTAAATTTTCCAAATATAGAGTGAAGTCGTCTCTTTAAATATTCATGAGACTTGGTGCAATATTCTTTCTTACTATATATATGCATATACCAAGCTTCATATTTTTGAGATTAAAAAATTATTGCGGAGAAAAAATGTAAGCAATTTCTTTTGTCGATGCTAAAAGACTAAAATTGTTTATATTTTATTTTTCTTTTGAAAAAATGAAAATTATTAATATTGTCCCTTTTTCTTTCTATAGTAATTGTTCACGCATTTATAATAAATTATATTGGAAGAGAAATGAGAATACAGTGAAGATTTAATTCCAGCAGCAGCTTTCACACATCTTATCAAACTATTGTGTGTGAGTAAAAGCTTTGTGGAATTAGAAGGGCGTGTCTTACGACAGAGGGTCGCCTTTGCAATTTACGAACTGACCATTTCCTAGAATGAAACTCTCTTTTTTTTCTTTTTGGTAATTGTTCGCTTTGTCTATAAACTAACGTGGAATTTCAAAAAATTTCTTGACAGCAACACGCAAACTATTCATTACTGTCAGTTAGAGTAAACTGTTTTTCAGTGTTTTAAAAAAGAACGAATCTTTTTTACAAAGTAATCAAAATTAGAATATATATGAAGACAATTATTTATCTTTTTTTTAATATTTTTAAAATTGTACGATAGTTCTGAAAAATTTACGAGGTCAGGCAAGGGTAATGCTAACACTATTGGTTCATAAATTCCTCTATGTGATACATGAAAAAAGCTCTTGAGTATGTTAAGAAAGTAAACAAGAAAATTCCCACTGGACTAAACTTTATCCACTTAAACTCTGCTTTCTGGCCATTTTGCGAACACTATTGGCTAGAGGTAATAGCTTCAGTAAAGTTATACGTGAAAACTGATAGTGCATTGAACTGGATTTAATAGTAATGGAAGTTAAATTTTGTATTGTAGTCTAGGAATGTATATATACATATATGTATATAAACTAAAGAAACTTTCTCTAAATGGTTTAACGATTATTGGACTCGAATGTTCAACTACAAGTGTAATTTGTTACAAAGCATGAAATATCGGAGCAAAAGTCCCTTTGACTGGTTATAACTTAATGCTTACTGCCATCGGTGTTTTAAACTTGGACTTTATTCAATTGACAACAAGTAATCCAGTTCTTGAAGTGGTTTCCTTTTTTATAAATGATGACAATTTTTTTACTTCTTACTTTTATTCAATTGACAATAAGTAATCTACTGAAAAACTTTTCCTGAGTACAACCGGTTTATTGACAATCGAGTTCTAATGGTGTTTATTAGAGATGCTTCTTTTCCTGCAGCAGACAAATAAAGACGTTTTCGTGTCCAGAGGGTAGTAACTAATTTCAAAACGCGAGTATTCAAAATTTAAGAAACTAGCCTAGAATTCGTTCCATAATCTATCGAGACTGACGTGACCAAGACGTGCACTCTGAGGAGTTGAATCTGCTCTTCGTTAAGCCAGAATCAAAATTCTAATATAGGAAGGCTGCCAATATTCTTGTCCGTTGCGAAAGATTTGTGAAATATAAAACTCAACGGCGATTTCTTGTCCAGGGTGCTCCATAAGAGAAGAAATCATCGCTGTAGCTTAGCCTCAGGTATAAGAGTAGCACGTCTATACACGTGGGGTGCAGATGAGAAGGATCGGGAGAAGGTGTTCACCTGACGCTGTAGCTCCTACAACCAGGTGTACTATCCTTGCTTCAACGATATCGTTCACCGAAGAGCACCTTGAGTGAACGTATTTAGGCATAGGGAGTGAGTTCGTAGCCATCCTTCCCGAGAAGCTCTTCGAAGCATGTCAGACCATGAACTGAGGAGTTGGAATCGTGCGGTGAAGTCAACAATTAATTATTATTGACAATATGTAATCTGCAGAAAATCATTTCCTGAGTACAATGGTGTATATTGGAGATGTTCCTCGTAACCCGGCTGCAGACAAACTGAGGCATCAGCTAGCGGACGTCCAGCATATAAAGGGGTCTGCTGCCTCTAGCAAGTTGTTAAATGGTGGGGGAAAGAAAGAGACGTTCCGAAGTGGGGGGAGAATAGGTCCCCAGGTACACAGCAAATTAGTTATGAATATCACAATAGCTCAGAAATTCACCTATGAAAGTTAATCTGTCTATCTCAATAGAATCAATTTTACATAAAAGCAAATTCAAATATATTTTGTATCATTCTTTGATCCTTGCTTTTACAAATAAAAGTAGAGTGTCTCTTAGTGTCCAAAGTTCTATTTCACCCTTTAACTTTATTGAAATCGAAAGCCGATATCTAGCTAATATTCCATGAAAGAGAATTTTAATTAAATGAAAACAGGCATTATGCACAAAGTACAAAATTTTAGCAAACAAAGTAGAATACGCAAATTGGAAGAGTTTGGTATAGGTAATTACATGCATGAATAAGAATATAATCAGCTTGGTCTTTCAAAGTGCACCTAATTTAATGAAGGCATATAACAAGAGTTCAACTTCTTAATAACACAAGTTCACACATCTAACATTGATTAGATTCCCAAAATTCATTTTCTGACGAGTTCATTATAAAATAACTTACCTGCATTATCTTCTCTTAAGAAGTTTAACAAACATTTTCTCATTTCCCTCAGCAATGGTGTCATTTAAAAAAAAAATAGAAAATATTTCAAAACTTTATCTATGATTAAATCTTCCAAGACCCACATGTGTGTGGGTAGATAAAAGTCCTCGATTATCACCATATACCAAATATAAGATTATCCGCTGGATTTATAAATTGCCCCAAGAAAAGAAATTCAAGAGAAATATTCACATAAACAAAATTAAAATAATGTCTAAAGTTCAAAGTGGAATAATAAGCATTGTACATGCTTTATGCTTTAAAGTTTGTGGTACGTTAATGTATATACTTGAATACGGGAAGTGACTACATAAAGACAGTAAAAAAAAAATAGAGAGAGAGAATAATCCTGGAGAATTCTCCATTGGGTGCAATGACCTATTTTCTAAAGGATTTTGTGTTCTGATTCTCAAATGTGCATTTGCAGGGGAAAATTTTCAACATTACTGATAAACACATTCTAACATTTTACTGCTTTTATATGCGGATTTCAAATATGACTTTATATTTGTATTAGACATTGTTCACGCAGGAAATGTGAAATCAAATTGTAGAGAATCGTAACATTTGAACTATTATTGCATGCAGAGGATCAATTTGCCGTATCAGGGCTATTCTGTAAACTCGTGTAATTTATTGATGTCATGTCTCGTTCTCGAATGGCTGAGCAGATTGTACTTGTGATATTCAACATATGGTGACAATGTTATTTGACTCCTTGAATTTAAATTGAACACAAGGAAATGGACGATATTCATAATCGTAAAGAAGGGATGCTAACGTAAATTATATGCTATGAAAATAGAAGGAAAAAATTGTAACTCTTATCTATATAGGGGAAACAAGATCTTTGGTTTACGATAAGGCAAAATGTTTAGAGGAAATGAGGAAGTTTTCTTTAATGTATTCTAGTCTTATTAATAATTTTTTTTTTCGTTTGTTGCTGCAAAATGATACAATATAAATATAATTTAATAATAAAATGTAAATTGGAGAATAAGGTATGAAGGTATTTGAACAAAATATTTACAATTAAGCTTTCTAATCGGCACTGAAGTTTTCGAAATATCGTGTCCATCGATTTTTAAGTAGCCGCTTCATGAAAAACGCGTTTGAAGTTTTAGAATAGGAAAACTAGAAAAAAGTTTATTTTCACACTGTAAATGTTCTTTACTAGGAGTATAAAGTAAGATATCTGCTACACTCACAATATCTTAGGCTTATCCCTTTTTCCCCACGCCCCTTAAGGACGTTTGAGACTAGAACATTTATTTAATAAAATATAAGAAATGTTAGTATTATTTAAAAGCTTGTATTGATTTGTTTTACTTTCTTTATTCTGGTAAATAATAATTGCATTTTTAAAATATACTTTATAACCATTTTCACTTTAATTTGAGAAAAATGTTCTACATTTTTGGTGATGTCAGTAATTTACGACTATTAATACTTCAGATAAAACCTTTTTAGCAAAATATATCGTAAACAAGAATTTAAAACATGATTTACTTTTGTTACGTTGAAACGTAATCTACCTTCTTATCGTTTTAGTTCCACTTTTGAATAAAAAATTTCTAAGACATCTTATTTGGGATGAGGATAAGAGTCAATAAATATTAAGATGTTGATTTTAATACTTTTCATTAGACTAATAAATCATTTTAAAGAATTCGACGTTTATTAATTATATAGCAAATCAGAAAAATGCAATAAAGAAGATCAATTGGATAATGCGTCTGAAGTCTGCATAGATTTTACTATGTAGGAAGCGCAGTACCTTTCTAATCGGCTGGTAATTAACACAAGTCACACTCGATACAGATTACTTTGTAGACTGGGTATTCACGGAGATTTCGGTACTGGGACTGATTGTTAGCGAATTTAGACGTTAAACTATTACTGCTG